AAAAAAAAAAAAAAAACATGTACAAAAGGCAGACACCACGAAAAGGTATATGTTGGGGGGATGAGGACTGACTACTTAATAGGTTTTCTTTTGGGGGTGATGAAATGTTTTGGAACTAGATAGAGGTGATGATTGCACAATACTGTGAATGCACCAAATGCCACTGAATTGTTTGCTTTAAAATGGTCTGGGATTTTTTCTTTTACAACAGTGATAGTTTTAAAAATTTCTACTAAAAATAGAAAAACTAGCAGGTGTTGTGGCAGGCACCTATAGTCCCAGCTACTCAGGAGGCTGAGACCAGAGGATATCTTGAGCCCAAGAGTTTGAGGATTTAATTTCATCTCAGTAAAAAAATAAAAACAAATGTGCATACTGTATGATACCATTTACACAAACCTGAACAACTGACAAAACTGATTTATGGTGCTAGAAACTGGATTAATGCCTGCTTCTAGAATGGGAGAGACTGACAAGAAAGGGGTGGAGACTGCACACCCAAGACCTGCACATCACATTAAATGTAAATTGCACTTCAGTTAAAAACATCAAAGTTTGGAGGCAGTTACCCTACATCTAAGGATTTATGCTTCAGATTTACTATCACATATGAAAATTGCATTTACAAGGTTTTTTCCAGCAGCCTTGTCTGAAATCCTAAAAGACTGGAAATCACCTAAATGTCCTCGACTAGGGAACCATTCAAATAAATTAAGTTCATTCAATGGAATACTATGCAGCTGTATAAAGGAATGAGGAAGCTCTTTGTGTACTGATATGGATGGCTCTCAAAAGAGGCATTGTTCAGTAGAAAGAGCAAGGTGCAGAAGGGTGTGCTAAGAATTTATCATTTGCATTGGAGAAAAAAAATGAGGTCTAAGAAAATGTTGATACTGATTCTAGTCATCTAGAAACAAATCTAAAGTGAAGGGTGACAACTTCTGGTCTGGAATTTTTTTTTCTTTTTTTGTAGAGACAGAGTCTCACTTTATTGCCGTCAGTAGACTGCTGTGGCGTCATACAACTCACAGCAACCAGAGTAGTTGAGACTACAGGCGCCTGCCACAACACTGGCTATTTTTTGTTGTTGTTGCAGTTTGGCCAGGGCCAGCATCCTACCCACTGAGCCACAGGCACTGCCCTGGTCTAGAATTTTAAAATGAGACCAACCTGAGCAAGAGTGAGACCCTCATCTCTACCAAAAATAGAAAAACTAGCCAGGTGTTGTGGTTGTGGTGGGTGCTGCTAGTCCCACCTACTCAGTAGGTAGACTGAGGCAAGAGGATTTTTCTTTTTCTTTTTTTTTGAGACAAGAGTCTCATTAAGTCACTGTGGGTAGGGTGCCATGGTGTCATACCTCATAGCAACCTCAAGAGATTCTCTTGCCTTAAGCCTCCCAAGTAGATGGGACTACAGGCATCCACCACAACGCCCAGCTATTTTTTTTGTTGTAGTTGTCATTGTTGTTTAGCAGGCCTGGGGCCACCAGCCCCAATGTATGTGGCCAGCATCCTATTCACTGAGCTACAGGCACCGAGCTGCAAGACAATCTCTAGAGCAAAAGAGTTTTAGGTTGCTGTGAGCTATGACACTCTACTGAGGTCGACGAAGTGAGACTGTCTCAAGAAAAAGAAAAAGTCACAATAACTGTGTATAATCCTAGACTGAAACTTAAATTAAAAAACTGAAAACTAAGGAGAGGAGAGGGTGATTGACGGAATCTCACCTAATGTGCACAATGTGAGGGTATTCAGCTAGGTGAAAGGCTCAACTACAACTTGAACTTTACCTTAAAATTGAAAACAGTGTAACCTGGCCAGGTGAGGGGAGGTTCAGGCCTGTAATCCTAGTACTCTGGGAGGCCAAGGCAGGAGGATCCTTTGAGCTCAGGAGATTGAGACCAGTCTGAGCAAGAGCAAGACCCTGTCTCTACTAAAAAGAGAAAACCCAGCCAGGCATTATGGTGGTGCCTATAGTCCCAGTTACTTGGGAGGCAAGAGAATCACTTAAGCCCAGCAGCTTGAGGTTGCTGTGAGTTATGACATCACAGCCCTAGCCTGGGCAACAAAAGTGAGACTCTGTCTCAAAAAAAGGAAGTAACCTAAACATTTGTACCCTCATACTACTTTGAAAAACAACAAACAAACAAACTGAAATCAGCTCTAAAGGATATTACAGGGATTACTGGGCAGATCTAAATAAGGACTGTTGGCTCAGCGCCTGTGGCTCAAGTGGCTAAGGCGCCAGCCACATACACCTAAGGTGGCGGGTTCAAATCCAGCCCGGACTCGCCAAACAACAATGATGGCTGCAACCAAAAATAGCCAGGCGTTGTAGCAGGCACCTGTGGTCCCAGCTACTTGGGAGGCGGAGGCAGGAAACTCGCTTGAGCCCAGGAGTTGGAGGTTGCTGTGAGCTGTGATGCTACAGCACTCCACCCAGAGGTCGACAGCTTAAGGCTCTGTCTCAATAAATAAATAAATAAGGACTGTCTATGTAATAATAGTAGTGTCTCATTTAATTGCCTGATTATGTTAAGTATGTAGGAACTCCTGTTCCTAAGAGATACTTGGTGGAGCTTTTGGAGATGAAGTATTAAGACGACTACAACTTTCAAAGAGTTCAGCCAAAAAAAGGAAAAAAGGCTGCACATGTGCGTGTGGTTTTTTTTTTTTTTTTGAGACAGAGCCTCAAGCTGTCCCCCTGGATAGAGTGCCATAGCATCACAGCTCACAGCAACCTCCAACTCCTGGGCTCAAGCAAGTCCCTGCCTCAGCCTCCCAAGTAGCTGGGACCACAGGCACCCACCACAATGCCCAGCTATCTTTTTGGTTGCAGCCGTCATTGTTGTTTGGTGGGCCCAGGCTGGATTTGAACCTGCCACCTTAGGTGTATGTGGCAGGCACCTTAGCCACTTGAGCCACAGGCACCAAGCCCACATGTGTGTTTAAAGCAAATGAGGTATCATGTTGATGACCAGTGCCTCTCGGCAAAGGTATATGGTTGTTCACTGTACTTGCAACTTCTCTGCAGGTTTGAAATGTTTCAACATAATTTTATTGGGATAGAAATAATAAAAAAAAATAGTAACATTTTGGCATACCCTGAGGCTCAGTGGGTAGGGCACCAGCCCCACATACAAAGGGTGGCAGGTACAAACCCGGTCCCAGCCAAACTGCAACAAAAAATAGCCAGGTGCCTGTAGTCCCAGATACTCAGGAGGCTGAGGCAAGAGAATCGCCTAAGTCCAGGATTTGGAGGTTGCTATGAGCTGTGACATCACGGTACTCTACTGAGGGTGATTAAGTGAGACTCTTTCAAAAAAAAAAAAATAACATTTTACCATATGGGTGGGAGAATATGTTATAAATATTTTTCCTTTTAATGCATCATTCTAGGAGAGGTAAAAAACTGGTGACAGCAGTTACCTGAGAGAAAGGGTGGGAAGAAGACTTCATCTGGCAATAGCTTTGTGAAGACATAATTCATATACTACACAATTCACCCATTTAAGGTACACATATATAGTTTAATGATTTTTAGTATATTCAGAGTTACCCAAGTATCACCACAAATAATTTCAGAACTCTTTCCTTGCCCTAAAAAGGAACCCTGCATCCTTTAACAGTCACCCCCATTCAGCCCATCTGGCCCTCACCTCTGATGACCTCAAATCTTATTGTCTCCATGGATGTGCCTATTCTGGGCATTTCCTATAAATGGGATCTCAGAATAGGTAAGATTCTGTGCCTGGCTTCTTTCACTTAATGTGTTCAAGGTTCATTGTGCTATAACATGTGTCTATACTTCATGCTTTTTTATGCCTCAGTATTTTTCCACTGTCTGGTTGTAGACTGCCATATCTTTTTTTTTTTTTGAGACAGAGTCTCACTATGTCATCCTTGGTAGAGTGCTGTAGTATCACAGCTCACAGCAACCTCAAACTCTTGGGCTTAAGTGATTCTCTCTCCTTAGCCTCCCAAATAGCTGGGACTATGGGCTACCGCCACAACGCCCGGCTACTGTTTGTTGGAGTTGTCATTGATTTTAGCTGGGCAGGGCCGGGTTCAAACCTGCTGGCCTAGCCGGCCTCAGTGTATGTGGCCAACACCCTACTCGCTGAGCTATGGGCACTGCCCTTCCATATCTTTCTGAAGAACTTAAAAGCATTTCAGGAAGAGGGAAAGTGCAAGAAGAAGGGGGAGAGACAAGGACAACAGTTCTCTTGAGTAGGGAGGACTGCGGGTGAGGTGCTGAAATTACCCTGCCTCCTCCTGTGCTCCTCTCTAAACCCTGCCCATTCATTCCCCCATCTAAGTTCTGCCTTCAGAATGCCACCCCCAAACCTGCTTCTCCCTCACTTTTCCCCATCTGGCCTATTGCTCAAACCACAAACTCAGGAGTCATCCTGGGCTCCTCTTCCCCTCACACCCAGGCCCCACTCTGTCAGACAGTCTTGCTGGCACCATAGCCAGAGCCTGATGGATTCTCTCCACCTGCACATCCACTCACTACCAGCTCTAGCCCCCTTGGTCTCCCTCCTTCCACTCTTACTCCTGCTACAATCCAATCTCCACTCAGCAGCCAATGAGTTTTTCAAAATACAGGGCAGATGACAGGCTCAAACCCTTCCAGAGCTCTCCACTGAACCTAGAATAAAGGTCAAATCTCATACCAAGGTTTACAACGCCCCATTGGATCTGATCCCCCACAATGACTCTAACTGCATCTACACTCCCCTCTTGTTCCCTCGGCTCCAGCTACAAATATACCAAGGTCCTTCCCAACTCAAAGCCCCATCTTTCCTTTCAGGGCTGTGTCACCTCCCCAGAGAGACCAATTCCTGATCACTCCAGCTAGATAAGCAGGCTGCCTCTTGGTCATGATCACTTTACCCTCGTTTCATTTCAGACAACGTATCACAGCCTGAAAGCATTGTTTTAGCATTACCGTTACTTATTACTTGTCTACCTTCCGTCTTCACAAGGCAGGGACCTTCTCCTTGACTTGTTCCTGCTGTAGTTCTCCTTCTACAGCCGTGCGTGTCACAGACTGTTTAATAAATATCCAGCGAATAAATGACCCTAAGCCTGCACGTGCACTCTTCGGTACCACAAAGCCTCCTAGGCCCCGGCCCGCCCCACCCACCTCCTGTCCCCACCTTCCCCCCTCCCGTCTGCCCCCAACCAGGCCTGGCACCCAACGCAAGCGCCTCCTGCACACCAAGGACTCTCCCCTGCCCCCCGTCATTTTCTGCGCCCCCAGAACGCTAGCCCCGGAGATTTCTGGACCCTGCACCTCTTCTGCACGTCTCTGGGCCAAGGGGGCTCCGCCAGTCACCACGTCCCACGCGACACCTCGTAACCTCTTTCAGGCCTTCGTGCTCGT